GGTCCAAGCAAGGGCAGTAGAGGGCCTGATGAAGTGGGCAGGAACCGTTTCCCAGGTGACATCCTGCCTGTGCTCATCACGCCGAGGGGTGGCAGTGTTGCACAATCACACAGATTCCTTGTCACTGTTGAGTGCAGTGTTCTTAAGAACGGACCTGGCGGCCAGGCACGATGGCTCATGCCTGTAATCCCAACACTTTGAGAGGCTGCAGTAGGCAGATCGCGAGGTCAGGAGTTCGAGACCAGCCTGGCCAACATGGTGAACCCTGTCTCTACTAAAAATACAAAAAATTAGCCAGGCATGGTGGCAGGCATCTGTAATCCCAGCTACTTGAGAGGCTGAGGCAGGAGAATCGGTTGAAACTAGGAGGTGGAGGTTGCAGTGAGCCAAGATTGTGCCATTACTCTCTGGCCTGGGTGATGGTGTAAGACTCTATCTAAAAAAAAAAAAAAAATAGGTGGGGGGGAACCTAGGCTTGTTGTGCTTGAATTTTGGTTTTGATTTTCCAGACTTTGAGGGAAAGTTGACCCATCCTGTTCATTGTGCCCTTGAGGAGGAAACAAGGCAAATCCCCATCCTTGTGAGCAGGGGTGCGCAAACCTGTCAGTCTGAGATGGCTAGAACCACATCCTCTATAACTTGGGGGGGGTGGAAATATATATGTACACACACATACAGATTAAAAAGATAAAAATATGTACACACACACACACACAGAGAGGAATCCTCCCTTATCTATGGTTTTGCCTTATACAGTTTCAGTACAGTATAATAATCTCGTGTGCTTAATTTATAAATTGAACTTTATCATTGGTCAGCATATGGATTCTAGCTCAGTAGGTCCAGGTGGGGCCCTAGATGTGCATTTCAGGCCAGGTGCGGTGGCTTATTCCTGTAATCCCAGCACTTTGGGAGGCTGAAGTGGGAGGGTCACTTGAGCCCAGGAGTTGAGACTAGCCTGGGTAGCAACGACATTTTGTCTCTACCAAAATTTTAAAACATTGACTGGGTGCAGTGGCTCACACCTGTAATCCCAGCACTTTGGGAGGCCAAGGTGGGCGGCTTAGCCAACATGGTGAAACCCTACCTCTACTAGAAGTACAAGATTTAGCTAGGTGTGGTGGCATGCACCTGTAATCCCAGCTACTTGGGAGGCTTAGGCACGAAAATCGCGTGAGCCTGGGAGGTGGAGGTTGCAGTGAGCCGAGATCATGCCACTGCACTCACGCCTGGGCGATAGAAATGAGACTCCGTCTCAAAAAAAAAAAAAAAGTGTGGCATGTACCTGTGGTCCCAGCCGGGGAGGTTGAAGCTGCAATGAGCTGTGTTCCCACCACTGCACTCCAGCCTGCAGGCCTGGGTGACAGAACAAGACTGTCCCCCTGTCCTCCCCCCAAAGAAAGCATTTATGACAGGCTTTCTGGTGATAATGCTGCTGTTGGTTCAACGCTTCTCTTAGAGTAACGTTCTAGAGTTTGGCAGAGTCAAATTGTTTCTGAAAGGGAACTTGACTTTGTACAAAACTTTCATCTTTCTCCCTCCCCCACCCCACTGCTTTAATTTTTTGAGACAGGTCTTGCTCTGTGGCCCAAGCTGGAGTGCAGTAGCATGATCACAGCTCACTGCAACCTCCAACTGCTGGGCTCAAGTAATTCTCCCACCTCAGCCACACGAGTGGCTTGGACTACAGGCATGAACCACCATGTCCAGCTAATTTAAATTATTTTGTGGAGATGAGGTCTCCCTGGGTTGTTCAGGCTGGTCTTGAACTCTTGAGCTCAAGCAATCCTCTCTGCTCGGCCTCCTTAAGTGCTAGGATTATATTTCTATATAAACTGTGCTGGCTGGGAGCTAAGGAAAAGGAAGACAGGGTCCTGCATGTGGGTTTTTGTAATTAGCAAAAGCCCAGCCAACACTGGCTTCTGTTAATTTTTATTTTAAGTCTTGTGAAGCTTAGATGGGAGGTTTGAGCAAAAAAGAGGATGCTGTCCTCTTTGTGGGATTTTTGCTGGTATGCAGAGATCTGGACCATCATGGAGGGAGTCCTCAGCACAGGGATGGGATTTGGTTCCTGCAGGGCCTCAGAGAAGCATGGGAGAGCCCTTCAGGTGTTAGGGGAAGATGATTTTGAGTTGCTCCTTCACTTTGTTGAATGTCTCTGAAATCCAGTTCTGGGGCTTGGCAGGAATGTTGCCATTAGCAGTGGTTGCCCTTCAGCTTGTCTGGGATGTGTCCCAAGATGCTGGAGTTGTCTGGGGCCATCTGGACTGGGGCTGGGCTTTCCACATCCATGGAGCCACTACTAGGACTGGGAGCAACAGAATGAGTCTGGGGGTGCTGCCAGAGAGGCACTCTAGATTGTTTTTGGGATAGCACAGGTGCCCACCTACAGTTCTCAGCCACTGAGGGGCTAGGAGCAGAACCGTCCTAGTGGAGGTGATTGCTAACTCTGAGGTGTACTTAACATGAGCCAGCTGCTGTTAGAGGATGAGCTATGTCCTGTCACTCCCACTTTACAGAGGGGATGCTGACACAGCTAGTGAGAGGTGGGGCTGGGACTTGAACCTCTATTCTTTAGCTATAGAACTGTCGTTAACCACTATGCTATGCCTGAAATCTGAGGAGATTTCTGGTAGGATTCTTTCTCCTGCAGCCCAAAGGAAAAAGGAAGCCCCAAGAAATGTTTTATCTTAGGGAAACCTTACTGGAACCACTTCCTTCCCTCAGGCCTGCCCTGGTTTTTGTAGTGACTCTAAGGATGTCTGTCATGCAAGGATGTGTTACCTATATGGCCCCATGCCATGAGAATGATTAGGTTCCTGTGAAGTTTAAAAAAATCCTGTGGCCGGGCGCGGTGGCTCAAGCCTGTAATCCCAGCGCTTTGGGAGGCCGAGACGGGCGGATCACGAGGTCAGGAGATCGAGACCATCCTGGCTAACACGGTGAAACCCCGTCTCTATTAAGAAATACAAAAAACTAGCCGGGCGAGGTGGCGGGCGCCTGTAGTCCCAGCTACTCGGGAGGCTGAGGCCAGAGAATGGCGTGAACCCGGGAGGCGGAGCTTGCAGTGAGCTGAGATCCGGCCACTGCACTCCAGCCTGGGTGACAGAGCGAGACTCCGTCTCAAAAAAAAAAAAAAAAAAATCCTGTTAGATACTAGAGATACACAGTAACTGCCATATATTGATTACTTTCTACATGCAAGGCACTTGTACAGAGGTTGAAAAGATGTCTCCATTTAAGCGTCCATTTAAGCGGGGGAGTGGTGGAGTCTTCTGTGAAGGTAGACCAGCACATGGTTTGCATTGCCACAGAGACACTGGGAAAAGCCTCTAAAATCCAGAGGAGTGCATGCGTATGGGCAGTCTGGGGCACGTAGAAGATGTCAACGTGTCCAGAGATAAAGGGGTCAGCATGTGCTAGGGCACAGGGTGTGAGCAGATAGTGGTGGGATCATGGGTATGTGAGGAGAGGAGACGTTGCATGGGGTTAAGCGCCAGGTTAGGAGGAGAGTTTAGGTGTCCTGTTAAAAATGACAGTCAGCTGGGCATGGTGGTGTGCACCTGTAGTCCCAGCTATTCAGGAGGCTGAGGCTGGAGGATTGCTTGAGCCCAGGGATTTGAGGCTGCAGTGAACCATGATCACACCACTGCACTCCAGCCAGAGCAACAGATGAGATCCTATCTCAAAGAAAGTGAGAGTCTGTTCCCATGATCAGTTTGGATTTCTCAGGCTCTTGGAGCTAGAGGCAGGGAGGACAAGGTAGGAAGTGTTGCAGATAAGATGTAATTAGAGAAAAGGCTGGTGCGGCAGTGAGGTTGGAAAGTGGTTGTCTGGTGATTCCTAAGAATAGGATCCAGGGCCTCCTTGGTATCTGCCCATTGCTTTGCAAATCTTCCCTCTTCAAGGCCAGAAAGGATTGCTTGTAAAGTATACTCAGAAGTAGCCCTAGATTCCTGCTTTCCCAAACAGCCTCTGGAAAGACCAAATTTCCTGGAGTGAGAGACTCATATTTCCCTTTGTAGGCAAAAATTGCATCAAGAAGGCGGGCGCGGTGGCTCGCACATGTAATCCCAGCACTTTGGGTGGCTGAGGTGGATGGATCACTTGAGGGAGGCCAGGCGTTTGAGACCAGCCTGGGCAACGTGGCAAAATCCCGTTTCTAGTAAAAATGCAAAAATTAACCGGGTGTGGTGGCAAGCACCTGTAATCCCAGTTACTTGACTGGCTGAGGCATGAGAATAGCTTGAACCTGAGAGGTGGAGGTTGCAGTGAGCTGAGGTCGCACCACTGTACTCCAATCTGGGTGACACAGCGAGATTCCATCTCAAAAAAAATTTTTTTAAATGTTCCTTTCAAATGAATGAATAAATAATAACCCTCCAAAAAAATTGCATCAAGAAAAGAGGCAGCTACCACAACTCATTTCCTGAAAATTTGCTTTGGTGGTTGGCATGTTTTTTGAGCAAAGTGTAACCTATGAGCCTTACCCCCATGGAATGGGGTGGGGCAGAGGGGGCATTTAAGTCTGTTAGAGCCAGGGCCAGAAGGAGCCCTCGAGTAATTTGGTGACTTGTGCTCTTCTGTCCTATGTTTAGATAATGCTCTAATGTGTCTGCCCCTGAAAATGTCTCTAATTTTGCATTTTTCTCCTGTGGAGAATGTGGAATGTCGGGGAGCTATGAAGACTAGTGTGTTTCTAAATGCCTCGGACAGAGCTGCCCACCACAGTTCGTGCCCTTTCGTACATGCCTCTTTTAACCTTCGGAACTGGGCCACAGGCTGTTGTCTATAATGGCAAGGTTAGACCCTTTAGGGGAGCACTCAAGGAGCACCACCTGGTGAATGAGGAGGGATAGTCCATGGCCATACCAGGAAGGATGGAGGAAGCATTTGGGGTGCAGGAGGCATAAGGGACATGGAGCTGGAGGCTGGGCGGCCTCTGAAGCATAGCTGAGCTCTGCACATGCCAGCAGGCTAGAAGCAGGAAAACACACAAGTTCAAGCTGGCTTTTCATGTATTGTGTACAAAAACATCAGATGCAGGATGAGTTTGTTGGGATTGCCAGGGGCTGACTGGAATGTTGCTGGGAAAGAGCCTCAGCTCCGCTCCAGGTCCTCCACCAGGTAGGACTGGGTCTCCCTTAGGGCCTGGAGGAACAAGTCCTTGCAGGTCCAGTTCCAGGCTGGCATGAAGCTGAAGAGCTTCCGCATCTTGCTTGGGTTGGTGGACTCGGCCTGCACTTCCTGGTACTGCTGATCCTTCAGGACCGTCCCGTACAAGGCATCCAGCAGCCCCTCAACGTCTGTGACCCTCGCGATAAGCGCAGCCCGGTGCAGGTCTACAAAGTGCAGGCCTGGGGGTGGGAGGAGAACATGAGCCAGCAGCCAGGGTGTGGGGCCTGTCCCTGCTGAACTTGAGTTCTTCAGGAATTCCTCTGCAAGCCTAGGGGCGGGGGCTTTACGGGGCGGCCCAAGAGGACCCCACATGCAGTGGGATGAGGGTAATATTGTCTCCCTTCCCCGGCAGGGTGTGGGCTGGTGGGTGGGGTGCGCAGGGTTGCCAAGCTGTGCCCTGCCCTGCCCTGGTTGCGGGAGCACAGATGCAGGCTGTGCCGGCAGTGTAGTGGGGCTGGGCTGGGTGTGGAGGCCTCACCTGGCTTGGCTGCTGACTGAGGAGGGGCCTGGATCCCAGCTGGTGTAGCTCCAGAGCCTGAAAGGATATGAGCCAAGTGGTCCCCTTCCCTTCCCGCCGTGTGGCGGGGTCCTCTCGTTTGGGAGGCCGAGCGCGGGGAGCCTCCTTTCCAGTAGAGTAGCTTTGTTGAGGGGTAGGAGGAACAGAAAGCGGAAGAGCCCGAGGGGTAAGTGCTGGTGTGGGTGGAGGGGAAGACCGGGTGGAGGGGAACGGGGCGGCTTACCCTGGTGCGTGGCCGCCTGCAGCTGTCCGGCCGTCTCCTGCAGACCCATGTCGCGCAGCACGTTAGCGGTGAGCTCGGCGCCGTAGGCCTCCAGGTAGAAGCTGACCAGCTTGTCGGTGAGGTCCAAGGCGTCCATGGACAGCAGCGCGCCCCTTGGGATGCGCCCGTAGCCCTCGCGCAGCGGCACCGACAGCAGCTTCAGCTTGAACTTCTTGAGCTCCTCGGCTGTCAGGTTCTCCAGCGCTTCCAGGATGGCATCGCGCGCGCGCCCCATGGCTTCAGGATCCCCGGCCGCTGCCGCCGCTCACCCGGCTGCTGCAGCCGACCAGGAGGAAGTCAGCTCCGGGGGCGGAACCTGGACTCCCCGCCTTCCTCCCACTCTGGTCTCCCGACTCCCCGCCCCGGTCCGTTGCCCTCCAGCAAAAGGCACTCCCTGACTACGCCCTTGGTCCCTGCCCACCCAGGCCTCTGGATTGGGGCCCCAGGCCGTCGGGGGATGCCAGGATCGCGCCCTCCAGCTGGCCTGTGAGGTGGGACCTGGGAGGAGACCCGCAGAGGGGCTCATTGGTGGCGCCTGCTTGTCTCTGGGCTTGCACCAGCGGGTACAGACCAGAAACCTGGGCTTGCTCTCACTGGGTTTATTGGAGCACCTAGGCTTAGGATCTCGTATTTCTAGAACCCCCGAAACCTCTGCGGCTCCCCGAACCTTAGGATTCTCTCCCACATGTCATAGAATCTTGGAATCATGACAGCTAGATGCATGAAGCTCCCTCAATTCCACATGCTGGAGAAAAATGAGGTGTAAAAAAGGGTAGGGAGTGCAAAGCTCTCTTGAGCTTCAGTTTCATTTTCTACCACATGGGGATGATAACCCTCAGGTGCTTATAAATATTCCAGCATAACATGGCCGACCCGATGGCTCCCGAAACCTTGCCACATGCTTCCTAGGGGAGCCAGAATTTGATCCCAAGAGCTGAATGTCTTGGAAAGTGATGACAACAGCTATTGGTTGAGAACATTCTCAACTGGAGGGAGCATCCTGGGTAGGGAGTCAGCCACTCTGGGCCCAGGCGCTTGGGATAGCATTGGAACCTGTGCTGTGCCAAAAATTCTTCCTTTTTTTTTCTCTTTTCTTTTAGAGACAGGGTCTCACTGTGTTGCCCAGGCTGGAATGCAGTGGCGCGACCATTGCTCCCTGCAGCTTTGAACTCCTGGGCTCAAGCGATCCTCCTGCTTCACCTCCCAAGATACTGAGATTATGGGCACCAGGCACCGTGGCTCGCCCTCAATTTGTTCCTAACATGGCTGGGGAGGTCTGCTGGTCTGACCTCTGTGAGCCTCCCTGGCCTTGTCTTATGCCACGCCCTGCTTTCCCTCCATCTCCAAGCTGTGGCCATGCTGGTCTCTCAGTTTCTCAAGCGTGCCAGCCTCCTTTTACCTCTCCAAGCCTTTGCACGTGCTGTTCCCTCAGCCTTGAAATCACTTCCCTCTTTGCCTGAGAAACTTTAGGCCTCAAGTTAAATGTCACTTCTTCTGGGAGACCAGGCTTAGAGCTTTTCCCAGGCTAGTTCATAACATGTGCTACGTATCTGTAGCTCTCATGGCAAGTGTCACGAATCCTGTGCACTTGTTTAAAACCACTTCTCCCTGCCAGTCTGTAAATCATGCCTGTCCAGATCATTGTTATGTCCTCAGCATCCAGAACAGGGCTTGACAAATAGTAGGTGCTCAATAAATGGTTCCAGAATGAATAATGAATGAATGGACCTTGTGGCTCAAGGGAGGATACCAGTAACTGCAAGTTATGCCTTATGCACAAGCTCTTCAAAGAGAGGCAGCCTCCAGAAGACTAAAGACCATGAACTTGAAGCCCTACAGTTCTTCATTTGAATCCTGACTCTACTTCCCAGGGTGGGGTATTTGGAATCCTTTATTTTTTCTTCTCATCTGGGTTGTAACAATCACTGTTCCTTATAGTCATACGACCCTGACATATTATACATTTATTTACTTATTGGACATTAATCCCTCTCTAAAATGTGAGCCCTGTGAGCATCAGAGACCTTAACTGTCTTGTTCTTTGCTGAATCCCTAGCGTCAAGAATGTACCTGGAAATAGCTGGGTGTGGTGGAGGGCGCCTGTAATCCTAGCTAATAGGGAGGCTGGGGCATGAGAATCTCTTGAACCCGGGAGGCAGAGGCTACAGTGAGCCGAGATTGCACCACTGCACTCCAGCCTGGGTGACAGAGCTAGATCCCATCTAAAAAAAAAAAAAAAATGTATCTAGAACACAGTAGGTACTGAGTAAAGATTTGCTGAGTGAAGGAATGAATGAGGCTGTGATACCTGCAGCATGTTGTATTCAAAAGCTTCCAGCATGGCTGGGTGCAGTGACTCATCATGCCTGTAATCTCAGTGGTTTGAGAGGCTGAGGCTGGAGAGTCACTTGAGCCCAGGAGGTTGAGGGTGCAGTGAGCTATGATTGTGCCACTCGGCAACAGAGACCTTGTCTCAAAAAGAAACAAGACAAACAAAAAACCAGGATGGGCCGGGCACAGTGACTTATGCCTGTAATCCCAGCATTTTGGGAGGGCGAGGTGGGTGGAGGTCAGGAGTTCGAGACCAGCCTGGCCAACAGGGTGAAACCCCATCTCTACTAAAAATACAAAAATTAGCCGGGCGTGGTGGCAGGTGCCTGTAATCCCAGCTACTGGGGAGGCTGAGGCAAGAGAATCGCCTGAACCCAGGAGGTGGAGGTTGCAGTGAGCCAAGATCACACCATTGCACTCCAGCCCAGGCAACAAGAGCGAAACTCCATCTCAAAACAAACAACAACAAAAAAACAAAAACAAAAAACCAAGATGGGGAGCAGTGCTCTGCTACCCTGCTGAAAGCCTTTTTGTTGTTGTTGTTTTTTCTTTTGAAGACAGGGCCTCACTCTGTTGCCCAGGCTGGAGTACACTGGAGGGATTGTGGCTCACTGCAACCTCGAACTCCTGGGCTCAAGCAATTCTCTCATCTCGGCCTCCCGAGTACCTGGGACTACAGGTGTGCCACCATGCCTGGCTAGTTTTTTAAATTTTTATAGAGAATGGGTCTCCCTATGTTGTTCAGGCTGGTCTCGAACTCCTGGGCTCAGCAATCCCCCTGCCTTGGCCTCCCAACATGCTAGGATTACAGGTGTGAGCCACCATGTTCGACCTTGCTCCCCATCCTTGTACCGTGTAGGCTGGGGTAAGCTGTGTGCCAACATCCTCACCATGGGTGGCACTTGTGGTCCAACAGCCAGTGTCCCTTGGCTCATGGATGTTTATCATGCCTTCTCACTGGCCTTTATTCTTCCAGAATCTCCATCTTCTTTTGTGCACTGTGGCCAGAAGGATACATCTTCCTAACCCACACATATGCTCCTGCTCCTGCCTGGCTCAGAGACCCCCCCATGACTCCCCAGTGCCCTCAGAGTCAAGTCCCAAGACCTTGGCTTGGCCTTCAAGGTCCTCGCTAACCTCTTCAGCTGCCCCTTCCACCCTGTGATCTGTGAACCTCTCCCCCTGTGGGGGCTGCTCTCTGCTTGGCCTCTTTTTCCTTCTAGTCTACTTGGTGAGTTCCCACCTGTCTTCCGACATTCATCAGGCATCACTTTTTTCTTTTCTGCTTTTCTTTTTCAGAGATGAGATCTCACTCTGTTGCCCAGGCTGGAGTGCAGTGTGCAATCATAGCTCACTGTAGCCTCGAACTCCTGGGTTCAAGCGATCCTCCCACCTCAGCTTCCTGTGTAGCTGGAACTACAGGCGCATGCCACCATGCTCAGCTAATTTTTAAATTTTTTTGTAGAGATGAGGTCTTTCTATGTTGCCCAGGCTGATCTCCAACACCTGGGCTCAGCGATCCTCCTGCCTAGGCCTCCCAAAGCACTGGGATTACAGGTGTGAGCCAACACACCCAACCTAGGAGTCACCTCTTCTAATAAATAATAGAAATAAGCCTTTAGTCTGCAGTCTTTCACATGCCTCCTTCCTTCCCTCCCTTCCTTCTTTCCTTCTTTTTTTTTCCCTTTCTCTCTCCCTCTCTCTTTTTTTTTTTGAGACAGAGTCTCGCTCTGTTGCCAGGCTGGAGTGCAGTAGCGTGATCTCGGCTCACTGTAACCAAAAAAAAAAAAAGAGAAAGAAAAAAAAAGAAAAGGAAGGAAGGAGGGAAGCGAAAGGAAGGGAGACGGGGGAGGGGTGAGAGAAGGAAGGAAGGAAAGAAAGAGGGAAGGAAAGGAAGGAAGGAAAGGAACGGAAGCCACGCACGGGAGGCTGAGGGAGGGAAGGAGGCGAGGAAGGGCGGGGGAGGAATAGATGGAAAGGAAAGAAAGAAAAAGAAAGAGAAAAGAAAGAAAGAGAGATGAGAGAAGAAGAAAGAAAGAAAAGAAAAAGAAGGAAAGAAAAAGAAAGAAAGAAAAGAAAGAAAGAAGAGAAAGAAAGAAAGAAAGAAAGAAAGCAAAGAAAGAAAGAAAGAAAGAAGGAAAAAGAAAGAAAGAAAGAAAAGAAAGAAGAAGAAAAAGGAAGAAGAAGCGAACGAAGGAAGCGAGTAAAAGGAGGCTGGCGCGGCTGGCTCATAGCTTGCAATACCCACCACTTTTGGAAGGCCCAGAGGCGGAAGGAGGATCACAAGTCAAGAGATCAAGACATCGCTGCGCGCCACGCATGCGAAACCTCGTCTCTAATAAAAATACATAAAATTAGCTTAGGCATGTAGCGCCCCACGCCTTGCTGAGTCCCAGCTACTCGGGAGGCTGAAGGCAGGAGAATTGCTTGAACTGGGAGGTGGA